AGTTAACATTCTTTATTTTTTCAGTGGCTCTAACCTTCGTGCTCAAAATAATTAAACTGAGGTTTATAGTGAATTAAATAAAGAGGTTGAAAGTTAATATATACCTATTTATTTAGCCAGGTGTGTCGTGTTCGATTATTAATGCCTGCAGGTTGAGACAGGTGAATCCATCGACAGAGGACGTTCTTGCATCGATTACACCGCACTCCACGTCAAAGTTTGTTTTAAAATGGCGGCGGAAGCGGAGAAACAGGTATGAGTTATTAAACCCCGCAGCTGAAAGGTTGACATGATGCCGTTTGTACATTTTATAAAGTAGTGGAAGCGGACTTTATCTCCTGTTTCGTCGCCGGAGGAGAAAGCGGAGAAGTTGTTGGCCTTTGTTTCCAGTAGAGGAAGCGCTGCGGAGGGGAACGTCAGCAGCAGCAGCAGCAGCAGCAGCTCGGGGAGGAAGGAGGCGCCACCGGCTGTTCGCGCTGTTTTGACCCCCTGCAGGGACTTTATGCGGCAGCTCATGACTTTCCTCCGCTGCCGGCTGTGTGGGGGAGCCAGGGGGGCGGTGGAGGTGCAGCAGTAGCCCCAGCAGCAGCAGCATCCTCAGCATGGAGCTCTCCGGGCGGCAGGCACCTGTCATCCACCTGTAGCGTCCATCAGCGGCGCCATGGCAAACCCGAGCCTCGGTCCACAGAACCAGCTGGACGGCCGCTCTGGTAAGGCTGCTGACCTTAAAGTCCTGTCCACTTTATTTGGTTTTTATCTCTATAAAACCATAAAAACACGCTCATATGTCAGACTCTGCCGTGTGTGCTGCCCTCTCGCTGAACTCTTGATTTTCGCCAAACTACATGAAACGGAGGTGAAATTGAAACATATCTTTGATTTTATTAAAATAAATAAACTTTTTATGACTTAAAAAACACATATTTGTATATCTAGTACATGTTTTATTAATTCGGCTTACATATTTGTTACCAAAACTGTACTTGCTAAGAAAAAATAAACTTTTAATTAAGTTTTTCCATTTTTTAAAGTTAGAATTCAACCCAGTTATGTAAAATGGAGAACAGTTTTATTATAAATGTAATGAAATAGAAATGAACGAATTGATGTTGACGGTTTTAATGTTTTTAGAACTGAAATGTACTTTTGGATTGAAACTTTACACTTTTTTTTTAACTCTGCTGTATTCCAGCTATTGCTGCTGCTAACAGATGGATTCTGGTGGAATATTTTAACATTTCTTTTAATCTAAATTAACACTTGTTATAACTTAATTTCATATTGTCAAAATTGTAAGATGGCAGTAAAGTTTCCATTCATTTCTATCCATTCATAGGAGTAAACATATGACGTGTTATAGTCTCTCTAACTAAGCAAAAGGTCACTTTTGTTTTGGTTTTCAACTTAAAAAAAAGCAAATTAGTTTTTCAGACAGAAGTACAGTCAGCTGATTTTTAAGTATTAAATATGATATAATTAACGAAATAATCCTGAAATCAATTAATTTATCAAAATATTAGTTATTAAAGGGGTCATAAAATGCAAAACNTTTAAGTATTAAATATGATATAATTAACGAAATAATCCTGAAATCAATTAATTTATCAAAATATTAGTTATTAAAGGGGTCATAAAATGCAAAACGGAGTTTCCATCATCATAGATGAATAACGATAGTTCAGCGGGTGAAATAGACGTCCAGAGAAGATCAAACCCCATCAACACCTCCTTTCTCTGCAAATCTCACAATTCTAAACTTCCACTGTAAAACAGGCGAATCCAAATGAAGCACCAAATTGACGTCAACTCGGGGATGTTGCCTTAATTGGTTCTGGCCTGCACATTTGTCACGGTAGATGTTAGACACCAGTTTAGCTGTTTAGCTTACAGTTGGGTTTACTTCTACAAGAATTACAAAGTTTCTCTATTGAAAATGAGCCAGAACCACGGGCGTAAATGCAGTGTTCCAGGCTGCACGGAGGAAGTGCAACATTTTTACAGTCTTCCAAAGGATCCAGAGATTCAACAGGCATGGATTATTTTTGTCTATCAGAAGATCCCTGCAGAGTTCGATGCTTAGATGTTCATTTGCTCTAAGCAAAGCACAGCTTTTAAAATCTAGACTGTTCAAAGCAGGATTTGCTAAACTTCTTTTACTGAAACGAGGGGCTGTTCCGACCGTAAGGCCATCACAACCCCAAGCTGGGAGTATGATTCAGTCGCTAAGCTGTTGATAGCAATGCTAGCATATCTATGGTGACCAGATATGCTTGTATCATCCCCCCCGCCTGCCTTACCGTGCCGCAGGAAGCACAGGGCCGTCAGGCAACCGTCACCAGGTTGTGTCGATCCGTCCCCCGCTGGCTCCCTGTTTCGACTACGTGCTATATATATATATATATATATATATATATATATATATATTGGGGATGGAACGGTGGCGGTACTGCGACCAAAGCCAACCGCCAGTAGAAAACAACAAGAAGAAGAAGAAGCAGCGAAGCAGTGTAGCCGGGTGTAGCAGAAAAAAATCAGTTGTTGTGGAGAATTGTGTGGGTATGGCGAGTTGGAAATAGGGTGGCCAGATGTCCGGCTTTAGGGCGGAAAGTCTGAATTTTCATTGCACTGTCCGGCGTCCGGCGCCGCACCCAGCCGGACGTGTATTTGTCCTCCTTTACCCCCAGATTCCACATACTCCGTCAGCGCTCCGCTCTGCTTACGTACGTGGTGTGGAGAACTTGTCTGTCATGTAAATCAATGAGAGCTGTCCCACATCC